TTATTATATTGTTTAATTATTAAATCTATACTTTTTTTTAAAGGATATCCAAAAGGAAAATATATTGGTTTTAATTTAAATGAATTATTTTTTCTTTGTTGAAATTAATAGAAACATAAATTTTTAAAATATTTGTATTTAGTTTAGTTTCTTTTATTATTTTTAAGTTTGATTGTAGTAAATTAATTTTATTTAGAAATTTATTTTTATTTTTTAGAAAAAATAGATCAATATTTTTTAATATTTTAAAATATTTTTCTATGTTTTCATTATTTTTTTCATTGATAATTATTGATTTAATATCTTCTATTAATTTATTTTCTCTTTTTTTGATATTATTTTTTAATTCTTTTATATGCCAAGGTCCTAATCTTTCATCTTTTTGTATAAGGTTATACAATTTACTATTAGATTGTATATCAAAAAGATTTGTTTTTTCATTTATTTTTTTATTGTAATATGATAATATTTCTTTTACATCAAATAAAAAATCTATTTATATAATTTATTTAGTTTTATAGTTATATTTATATAAAATTTAAATTAATTAAATATTCCTCCTTCAGATAGTAGTGGATCTTTGGTTTGGTTTGTATCAGTAGTATCTTCAGGTTCTGAGGGTTTTTCTTTATAATTTGTTAAATATTATTATTAGTAAATAATTTTTTTTTTATAAATATTATAATTTAATTATATTTACCTGAATTAGAGGAGTTATTTATTATTTCTTTAACAGCATCTATTAATTGTTGCATTGCTGATCCTGTAGTAAATTTAAGATTCATCATACTATCCATATTTGTATCATATCCCATCATAGGCATTACTTTATTGACAATAAGAAAAGAACCAAAATGTGTAGGAAATTTTGGTGTTTTACCAAAATGTATTATATTATTATTATATTCTAAACCTATTTTTAAACTATTTTCAATTCATTCTTTAATTATTTTTGGATCTGCAGTTACTGTTAAAACCCAAATAACATTAGGTTGGTAACTAGTCATATTAGTTTGATTGTCTCTATTACAACAGTAAAGTATTATACTTTTTTCTTCATCAACTCTTTTAACACCATAAGGCATTCCTTGTGATTCAGATTTTGTCCTTTTGATTTTGAACATGAGAATAATAAATGTATATACTAAAATTATGCCAAAAAGGTTTATCACAACATTTAGATTGGTTGTTTTTTAATAATTTATTTACATTAATTGGTATATCGATTGCTGTTATTTTTTTCCAGTTTTCTTCAATTAAATGTGATTGCATGTTTTTATCAGTATCATCAAATCTATATGTTCCTTTTTTAAAAATATCTTCTAAACAAATATTTTCTTTTAGAAAAATATTTACATCATTTCTATCTTTATCTTTTACTATTTTATCTTTTGCAATTAAAAGAGATAATGTAACTATAAAATCACCAGATGATTCATATAATTTTATATCATCATATAATGGTATTTCATCATTACTTTTTGTGTTTAATACAATATTCATATCAATTTGGCAAAAAAATCTATGTAATTTTAATTTAGGTGCTTTTGATACTTTTTTAGAAATTGTTTGACCAAAATGAGTTATCATAATTAATGAATTTGTAACAATATTTTGTTCTGTATAACTAGGTTTTCCATATTTTATTGTTTTACCATTAATTTTTTCATCATTTTCTTCAATAATACTAGTTTCAAATGTTCCAGAAGTATCGATAAATGGTGTATTTGAAAAAAAAATAGAAACTATTTTATTTAATAAAGATGAACCACCAGGTCTTTTTTGAATACTATCATCTGTATCTTCAGGATCACAAATTATATCACATGGTAATCCAGATA